TATATACATATATACATATATACATATATACATATATACATATATACATATATACATATATACATAAACTTTTTAATTTGACATTAGCTGAATTTCGAATCGAAATTTAGAGACATTATCTCAAAATTCTGATATTTACGAGATTATAAAATAGATTACTCAAAACCAATATATGACTCTTTCATGTATATTTACAAAATTTGGAAATCCAGAATGTTAGCCTTCTTTCTGTAAAATAGAACTGATTTGCCTTTATTTTCGATGTGACGTTAGACTTGTAGATAATGTCATGCAAGAGTGGCTTCTGATTTGAACCCATTAAACGTGGTTTCATTTAAATAACGTTTTATTTAATATTTCAATTATAAACAGAGTATTAATGAAATTATTATTTATTAATTACTACCAATAAATAGGTAATGACAAAAACATCGCAACTTCATTTAATTCAACTTTAATTACTTCAACATTGCAAAACATCGCAACAACACAAAATTTTCATTTAAATTTTCTTCACTCATATTGTTTAATATCGACGCTCACAATAGGAACATCCGCTTCTATTGACATCTTCGGTTTGCAACCCCTAAATTAGTAATTGCGGCTAGTATTACAAACCCATCCATTACGTCAAACACGGTGTTAGTAAGCAATTTTCGAATGACTTTCAAGATATTATACTTATGCCACTCCAAAAAGAACAACTGATCTACTCCTCGTAGCATGTATTTTTACCTCCAATGTGAAACGATACGAATTAGTATTTTACAGCAATATTTCGAAAAATGAGCTTAATTGTTTCTTCCAAATTGGTGAGAAGACAGATCACGGTAATTTCAGTTACCATAAATTACGAACATTCCCACAAGAGCTCATCCCACCTGCATTTGAATTCTCATGGACATATCCTTCTTCTTCTTCTTCTCCCGGAATTTTTGATATTTTGAAATATTGAAATACCTAGTTTACGCGCACAGGAGGTTAGCCTCAGCAATGCAATTAACAAAATTTATATTATGTAAAATTGTATGTATACAGTATACGACCTGTTTAATGAATTAGTACTTATTGCACGACATCAAGTGAATTAAATAGTAAACATCTACCATGAACTAAATGATCTATTCATTTAGAAACATAAAAAGTAGGTAAGTAATGAAATATTAATCTTACCCGTGTTCCGGATACCTGAGACATTGCAGGGGAAAATATACTATCGTGCTTTTCGCTGCTGCTGAGATCGTGAGACAAACGAGATCGAGATACTAGGACTGATTTTTTGCAAATTATAAAGTAAAGGAAGTCATCTTTTATTACATTATTTTTTTAGTATTAACTGACCAACTCTAATTTCTGGGAAATCACAAAATCTTCTTTTGTTGGGAGGCGGGATCCTAATTCCTACCTCGTCTGTTATAAATATTGGACTTCGTACCTTCCATCGACAGTTACTATGGTTCGTCTTTTAAGCATCAAGCATACGGACTCAAGTACACTGCAATAAAGCCATATTCTCACTTTTTTAAGTTTTTCAGGGAAAGTTACGACAAAAAGTATGATTTCATCGAGATTTACGAAAAAGAGACCATTGTAAGTATATAGTATTCATTGCGTTCCATTACACAGAAAATTATTTCCCTCTGTTTTTGCAAACCTCGTTGAAATCATATGACGTTCATATGACGAGTTCAGAAGCCAATCTGACTAACTCCAATGTTTAAAAAATTGTGAGTAATAACATGGTTGTGTTCCACAAATAACTATTTGTCAGTGTCCAAGACGACGAACTCCACATATTTAAAGGTTTGCCGCTAGAATGTGCTAACTGCCCTGGCAAATTAATATTTCATCAGTTGTTTCGGTGACCAGTGTGATTAACTCCTTGACTCCATGACAGCCGATGTTTAACCGAACTGATTTGAAATGAACTAAACTGTTTCGTGTTTTCCAATTTACAATGTTTTTGTTTGTGGCGTTTCTTAAGTTTACTTTCTTATTTCATTCAAGAAATAGTAATAATACCAAACATATAGTCATGTACTCTGACTCATGCGGCGGTCAAAGCCGAAACATAATTGTTGTTCTCTTTCTAATAAAAGATCTCCAAAATCAGAGTGGTAAACTAAAAAACTATTGATTTTAAGTGCATTGTGTCCGGACACAATTACCTTCCGAACGATTCAATGTTTTTCCTTTCTTGAAAAAAGAGCAAAAACTGCTAAACACATCTTTTCTCTGAGGGATTGGTATGATATCATTTTAGACTACAGGAAGACAAACACGTATTTCCTCACAGAAATGAACCATGAAAACTCCATTCGACAGTAAACATAGAAAAATTTACCACCACCAGGAAAAAAGTGTCGAAGGTGACCCAGTTAACTGGCTGACAATAAGATGGATTCGGATTGAGAAAGATGAACCATTTGTTTTCAAATATAAAACTACATTCTTACCAGAAGTAACATTTGGAAAAATTAATTTCCAAAAGAAAAAAAGAAACAGACGTTCTTTAGAAAGTCTAGCTAATGGCCCACAAGATCTTATTTACAGCACATCAAGACCGATCTCCATGGCAAAACAGAAGGATGTAATAGGCCTCTTGAAGTTTATGTCTCCTATACATCACCATTATCATAAAAACACGAAGACTGCAAAATGTATCATTCAAGAAGAACCTGTCAGTGATGACTGCATCACTTACGCAGAATAGAGGCAATGAACACATTTTCATTTGTATTTCAGGCAATTTTTACTTTATTTTAAGTATTGTTTAATTACTTACTAGTAACTTTTTCTAGTAAAAATGTTTTGTTCTGGACATATTTGTTTAATAAAATAACTTGTTTAGAAACCATTCAGAATATTATGTCAGTACAATTCAAAACTCGTCTCTACCTTTCAGTTGGCAATGTAACTTACTCCGTATAAGCGCTGAAAACATACCCTTAATTGTAAAAAAATGAATGAGTTTATTCGAAATATTCTGAAAAAATTATAGATTTTTAGTACATAAAAAACTTTAACTGTTCATTCTGAACATTTTCGTTCGATGGAGTTAGTTGGCTTGGCTTCTGAACGACTTATATCAACTTGACCGAATTCTTCTACGTGGCAACGGCTGAGATTGCACGTGTATGAGCGGCTATGAAGCAGAATTAGTTGTAATTTAGAAGATGAAATAGTTGTACCAGATCTTAGTACGTCTACTATTGAAGATTGTGTTAAATGTAACAAAAATTCCCATTTATGAATGAAAACAAGAGTCTGGAAAATAACCAGTATCGTAAAGTAGACATATTTTGAAAAATAAAATCTTTTGGAAATAATTCTAGCTAAAAAATTATATTTTTATTGATTTCTTGAAATAGTTTGTTACCATTTAGATCCACACGAAAATAATTCATTAAAAATAATGTGATGTAAACGCAAGTAACATAAAAAAATATTTTATCCAGATTTTTTGTAATGACCCCCTATTTGACTAATCTATAACCAAGTTCACTGATAAATTTTAGTATTGGAGACCAAGTTTTATTCCAAATTTTATATCGCTTGCTCGTCAGACAAATCTGAATAATACAGTCACATGTTATCAAAAGAAATACGTTAATATTCGGACATGTAGCTTTAAAAATATCTCTCACCTGCACTGATGACTTGAAATTGTGTGAAGACGGTGCAGCATGTTGCAACAAAATTAATGATTTTCATGTTGTAAATAACCAATTAAAATACGCACACGACTAGGACAATCCTTGATATCTCACTAAGTGAACAGTCTTGAGTTACACTGGTTACAAATATCTAGACCCTCCTCGACGTTCCCGGTAGGCCCGGCATGAATGAACACCAATATCTTCTGCTTTCTTGCTATTGGTTACTTGAAGACATCTCTTCTCTCTGGTTGGACAGACGTTTCATTTTAATATTATTAGCTCTATCGTCTTTTCGCAGCTGCATTTGGAGTTAAGAGATAAGTGAACCTTCCGGTTCTAAAGTTTATCTGCCGACTTCCGCTTGTGAGGAACGTTTTCGTTGCCAATGACAATGAAGTTGGTTCTTCAACCCCTTTTTAATTATCGCCCTACCCAAGATCACGAGTCATGCCAGTTGCACGACGCGTGATATAAGCCGCAACATGAAAATATGCACGGCTTCCACACGTTCTTAAAATGCAGCAATATTTTTTTTTTTAATTTTTAAACTTTTTGTATAGAAAGGAAAAATAATTGGTGGATTCTTTGTTTGTCCCACGTATAACGACTATTTTATGAAGTACATAAATTAACTTTCAACTTCCTACAACGTAACAATAACAACAGAACAATAATCATGATATTTTTAAAGTATGCTAAGCGTGAAAATGACATGACAATTATTTTGTCAAATAATCGTTGGTTAAAAACTGCTTTAAATGGAGGTGCTTTTGTGAAAGTTAAGGCTGAACAAGCGTAAACACATACACACGACGAAATGAGTAACCACCTCTTTTCAATATCTGTTAATAGTTGATGTGTAAAATGTGAAGGTACAGAACAAAATGTCCACGTTTTTCTTTTTAATAGCAATAAGGAAAAGTATATAAAATTAATGCTTTTCAATTAGTGAAAATGTTAGCCTGTTAGTATTGTGAAATGATCTTCGTTTAGCTTTATTTGTAATACCACGTAGATTTTTACCACGTACTTTCTATAAAATACGTAATACGTAGAAATACCACGTATTTTCTATAAAATTGCAATAATTTAATGGATTTGTGCCTTTTTGTCACTCCACACTATGGTTTTAGATGCCCGTTTTGTGGTCAAAATTATTAAATGTAAATTGTGATAAATGTATTAAGTGTAAATGTATGCAAGTATTATAAAAACAAAATTAAAACTCATATTTAACAACTCATAATTATGAAGCGAAAAAGTAAAAAATTGTACAAGATCTTTATATTTTTTAGTAAAATGTAGACTATATATATTGGAGCGAAACTTACAATTTGCTCACTAATTCTACCGCCTCCAGTACAACTACTGGAGTTATATCTTTCAAAATACTTTCATCATTCTTCAAATTCTCGTCCCCATCTTTGCACTTCTTCGTCTACCTCCTTCTCCTCATCTGTTTCCCTTTATGTGACTTCGGCGATTCCTTTGACCATTGCCAGCACAGTTGTTATTTCAGAAGGAATATTTACTTTGTTTTGACGTCTATTATCTTTACTTAAATTAATGATAGACATTATTGCATGTGATGTGTTCATTGCTCTATGGAAAATGTGTTCCGGATTATTCTTCCTGCCGGGTTTACTTGCTCGGTGCTGTCGATCATATTTGTATATTTTATTTCTTGCACCCAACGTCTCCAAAATAACCCTATTGGCATTAATGTGTTTTCAAATATTTCTTTGTAAACGCGGAGGTGTCAGAGTAGTTGCAAATAATGAAGCCTCAGAACGATTGCCAGGATTACCGAATGTTTGTTTATGCATAGCTAAGTACGGATACCATCAAATCCAACTATAAAGAATTTCCTCATTGATATTGTTAACATTTACCATACTGTCCAATGGCTGCGCGGTATTTCTACTTGTAGACTCTTATGTCTATGGGCTGAATTGTGAAAAAATTATTCGTTTCATTGTGTGATCCAAAATGGTTTGTAAAGGAATTACCGCTACTAGGTCGGTTGTAATAATACCAGTTGGTCTTAGTACAGATATACAATTCGAAATCTTTTTGTAGTGGTAATAGATATTGCGATTTTTCACATGTTGTTGCTTTCTTAAAGTATCTAAAATAAGCTCTTCTAATATTTAAGTATTGTTTCTAACTTCAGTTATTATTAAAAATAAGCTCCAACGCTTCTTGTGGTTTGTACAAAAAACCGTGTCTTAAAGAAGCAGTCTCCTCACTTTTAGTGATGATTGTAGTCTATTTTCTTTTAAAACCAGCATTTCCTCACTTCTTTTCACGAGGCGCAGCAATTCTCGTAGACTTCACTGTTAAAGCAGTCTCTTGCTACATTGCTACGTTAATGTGACCTCTGAGAAGCTTCCCTCCTTTTTGGCCTAGTTGATGTTTCACAAAACAAGACCAAATCAAAGAGGTCGACCAAAAGACGTACATGATGGCAACGGTCTTGATGAAGTCAGGCTTCAAGGAAGACAAAATTATTTAACAAAATATTCTAGACGTTATCTTTACACAATTTTTCTTCACGATTTTCTCATAAACCGCAATTTTTGTACCTACTTTTCTCTTCATTCAATGAAATTTCTTTATTTCCATCAGAATCAATTATAAACTGGTAAATTAGCGTCATCTATTCATCTCTATCACAAATTGTACGCCACTATTCGAATAGACATTCATTTATAAAGCAATGCATAGTTACCTAAAGAAACAAAAGGTGTTACTATAGAACGTAATTTCTCTCATTATTTCTCACTTTTGCAGTTTTTGAAAATTCATATAGTTCAACGATAATGACACCTGCACCTTTCTTTTAAACGTTCCTTGTTCTGTCCGTGGAAACGAAATTAAAGAAAAAACTTGTATCGTTTCTTGTGAAAATGATATTTTTTTTTAAATTGATTTTAATTTCAAATACAAAATAACACGAAAACTATTCGTTTTTTTAAAAAAATGTACGTGATATTTTTAAAGATCCTAAATTTTAGAACGGGTTTCGTTTAAGAAGGAAACCTCTAGCTTCAATAATATAGTTTTAAAATGATTACTTTCGTATTTTTTGTTCAATTTTCAACAATACGCAGAGTTCGCCGGAAATGAGATTAGCACCAGTTTTTTTTACCGTTCTTTGATAGATACGAGGAGCAAATTTATAGAAAAAAATTGGAGCTGTTTTTGAGAAAATAATTGTGTACAAATTATTTATATCAGTCTATATTTCACGCAAAATTACGCGAAAACTACTTATATTTTCTAAAAATTGCGTATGACCTTATTTCAAGATCTCTTGCTTCCGCATGCGGCTTTCTCTAGCGTCGGAACAAGCAAGTGACCTTGTTGTGGTAGAAGCCGAAGAAAACCCATCAACCAGTGTAAGAAGAGTACAGTATGGAAATTCCTTCGCAATGAAGTTTGCACCCTTACAAATTTTGCAATGTGCAACACTTACAAACACAAGGCAGATAATCACGTTTTGTACCGGGGCACTTCAAAATCCTTATATTTACAGACAAGACACAGTTCTCGAGAAGTAGAATAATTAATTCTAGAAATGGTCATTTTTGGCTCAAATAACATGTTTGCAACACGCGAAAGAAAATTTTTATCATTTTTTGCGTGTACCAGCTACAATTTTAAGTTGCACCAAAGAACAGGGTGGTATCAAGGGATGGTTAAAAATATAGTGCTAGTCTCATGTTTGACAAACTGTGCGTATTTTCGAAAATTGCTAAAAATTAACATTTTAAAACTACAAAATTGAAGAAAGCGATTTTGCCTAAAAGTCTGTTCTAAAAAATCGGTTCTTTAAAAAGTGCCATATACATTTTTTAACAGTGGGTTTCGCGTAAAAATTTATCTCAAAAAACGCTCTAAATTTATTAATTAAATTTTCTCCTCGTAAATAATAAAGAATGCTAAAAAATATATTGCTAGTCCCGTTTCGGCAAACTATCCGTATTTTCGAAACTTGCAAAAAGTTAACATTCAAAACTATAAGCCCCAGTGCGAAACTCACAGCCTTTCCATGGGGTAGAGGTAGACTCATTGCGAGTAAACTTCCAGGCCCCGCATTGGAATCTCGATGCGGAAAAATGTTTTTCCTGGTTGAAACCTCTTAGGAAATTATGTAGTAGTATAATATAGTTGAGCAGTTAGAGATAATGTGAGAAAATGTGGTTTTAGCAGTACTAGTTATTTCTGTTATTTTTTATTTGTTTCTGAAATGCAAATATTTGCTTAGGATTTTTTTTCAAACCAACTTTTGAATGCTTATTACACAGTGCGACAATGAAATCAAATCTGTTTTTAAAAAAATACTATTAAAGGTTATGCACAATTTGTTGAAAAAACAAGACGTTTTGACGTAATTTTTGCTGTAAAAAAAGACACTTTATAAAAACAATTCTCATAACTGCTCCAATTTTTTTTAGTCCACGATTACAGATTTTGGTTGCTTAAAAAATAGCGCATGTTTTAATATCGAAAAGCTCTCTGAAAATTGCAAAAATTACAAAAAATGCTTGAAATATGCAGATGTAGCAACTCTTAGTAAATGGCTTTTATGGCTAGCTTAGTACTCGTAGGTAGCGTTTATGGCACTATACATTTGGCCGAGTTGATGAAAAGGCCCTGGCCTTTGGTCTAAGCGATGAACATAAAACATCATTGGGTCTGCCCAACGGGTCATTTCAATGCATTTTTAGGCAACATCCTTTTTTGTGGAATAGTTTCATCATTTTTATATCAAACTCTAATACATAAAAAAAATTATATGGCAAAAGGTTAATTTTTTTCATAATCGCCCTGCTACAGCATTGTAGAGAGAGATGTCTTTCTTAATCATATTCATATTGTTCAATGTTAGATCTTTATATTATTTCACATACTTTCTTCTTCAAAATATTAGTAGTTTTCATAAAATTTGGGTGATATCGTTACTAAAATTACATGTTTTCCAACCATGTCTTCCAACTTCAGTATTGAAGCTTGATATTTACTTTTAAAAGAAAGCAAGGTATTTCTGAATATTAAGTTTTAAAATCATTTCACGTACAAAGTTTTCGAAATTTATGTTTTTTGCGTAATTTGGAGTTTCAACACGACAATTTTGTGCCTAAAGGGTTATATATTTAGATTTCATTTTTGCATCAGGAATGCATTGCGATCTCAAATGAATCGCATGTTGCACGGCCTGACAACTGTTTTG